CCAATGGTCGACCCACTTGTTCATCACAAAAGCCGGTCCCAACGACCTCGCCGGGTTCATCGACGCTCCAGTCGCTGGCAGCTGCGGAAACATTACACGACAATTAACACTACAATACTCGATTGTTATTCACAAGTTCGTGACGCTAATTATTAGGTAAGGGAAGAGGAGTAGCCGCAGTCATGTATAGGCACACCGCTCTTCTTGAACACATTTAAATAAAAAAAAACACCACGGAGAAGGCCTACGTTTACTCACAAAGAGAAATACCCAGGCTCACTTTTCATGTGATGCGCGAGAAAAAAAAGTGTAAGCAGATCGTGTTAGTTGGATGGACATTATAAGGAGCAACGAAAAAAACGTCGAGATCAAACGGTACACGCTACTCCGTGCTAATGTACGGGATAAGATGAAATGAGAGAGATAAATCCGTGCATACAGGCGGGTGCAAAGGTGGACTTTTGTCAATATGCATGCACTTTTATCGGTATCACTGATAACGTCGAAGATGTCATGAGATAATGTGGATGAGCTGATAAGCGGACACTCGCTGACCACGTTTTAAATTTTCGCTTCTTTTCACTCTCCTCGGCATATTGTATAACTTTATTTTTAACACTTTACTTTGCTTACCTCCCTAGTTGCTGATCCGTGTTTTTTACAAGGGCTGCTTCAGTATAGTGACTTTTTTTTTCGAAAAAAAATATAAGAGTGGACGAGATAGTGAAGGTTTACATTTAAATCAGTGCAAAGCACTTTTAAATACTCCGCAAGATGCGCAAAACACCGTGCAAGACAGAGAATACCACATAAAAAGGTGCTGAACTAACAAGCGACAGCTTTTGTTGCAAACAGGAAGCCATATATGCACAAAAACACACTCTTACGTGCCCATCGAACACTCTTATTACGCGCGAAACTGTTAACGAAGAGGCTTTTCACAATGCTCGGCTGATGAATGGTAGAGAGAATTTTTTTTTTTTTTTAAGTGATCCATCGCGGGTGGAGCCCTTCTTCTAAGGCTCCACTGGCTATAGCGTGCTGAGACGCAGGATGGCCTCGACGATTCCGTGCGCCTTTTTGACGACGCATTCAAAGATGACACTATTTTTTTTTTCGGATGTGAAGCTGCTTATAATCGAACTTATAGAGTTTCCTAATATATACACTAGAGGGAACTCTGGTGCTAGCGTATATAGGAGCTGCAACGCACGGCGCTTCAGCGAGCAAGGGAATTATGGGTAGTACACACACTTGTCTAATCTTCATACTTCTGACCTGCTTTTGGCTTCGTGTGTGTTCGTGTGGCTTGGAGCTGTATTCTCACGAAACAAAAATCACCAAATGTTCAGCGATTGCACTTCACCACGTTATTCTTTTAGACTTACCTTTCCAAATCGGGACACGAAGTTCAAAAGGGTAGAATCTCTCTTTCAAAGCAAAACCGAAACACAGCAATAAACGAAGCCGCAAGTACGATTCGCCACGTGCAAGTACGAAGACTAGGCAAATGTGTGTACTACCCATCATTCCCATGGTCGCTGAACGATCGCAGTGACGGAGTCCATCTCTAGTTAATTTTAGGAAACTCTATGGTCGACCTCAATCCAGTGGGCGTAACCACGCTTTACTGCGCATGCACAACCACTGTCCCAAGAACTTCGAGAACGTCCTCACGCACTAGCACGTTCGGGCCAGTGTAAGGGGCTCGGTAAGACGCTGCGACCTCTCCCCATTACACTCATAGAGTTTCTCAAAATTAACTAGAGGGCACTCTGGTGCTGCGATCGTTCAGCGACCGTGGGAATGACAGGTAGTACACACATTTGCCTATAGTCTTCGTACTTGCGGGCGGCGAATCGTGCTTGCGGCTTCGTTTATTGTTGTGTTTCAATTTTGTTTTGAAAGAAAGATTCAACCCTTATAAACTTCGTGACCCAATTTGAAAAGGTAATTAAAAAAACAGGGTGGTGAAGCGCAATCGCTGAACATTTGCCGATTTTTGTTTCATGAGAAAACAGCTTTAAGCCACACAAACACACATGGAGTCAAAAGCAGGCCAGAAGTACGAAGTTTAGACAAATGTGTGTACTACCCATCATTCCCATGCTCGGTGAAGCGCTGTGTGTTGCAGCTCTCATAGACACTAGCGCCAGAGTTCCCTCTAGTAAGTATTGTGAGAAACTCTATGATTACACTCTCTCGGCGATCACGCGATCGCGTCGAAGAACGAGATTCTGCGGACGCCCGATGAACGCGCGTGCTGCACGTGGCGATGAACGCGTGTGGAGTGCTCCAACAAGAGTTCTGGACGAGTAACAGCTACAGAAACTACACTGAATTTACGGTGTGCTCCACTTGTAAGGGCATGGTGCCTGAACGAAACTTTAAGTCGATCCATGCAATGCTTCGCGTGGTACTTGTGGTTCCCTTTAGTAGGAGGTGAAGTCCTTTTTTTTCCTCCAGAACTTGGCTTACAACCGCATGCACGACATTAAAAAGGCAGATGCGAAAATAAGACACAGTTTTCAATTGTTATGCTGGTGCAGATGCCGTTTTTTTTTCCTCCCCGCATTCAATCATTTGCTCTAAAGTCACTCGGGCAGCGGACCTCAAAAAACGCACTTTTTTATGCGAGGCATTACACTGGTCACAGTATTTGCGATCACACTCGTTACAAGACGCAGCTTGAGAGGAACGCCGTTTTCTTAATATTTCTTACGTAAAGCAAATGCTGTCAAGACGAAGGTTAGCGCGGTCACTGTATTCATCTCTTACTTCATTTAGCTTTGCGCGGGAGTCAAACCCGAAGTGCATGTGTGTCGCACGTCAGAGAATATTCACCTCGTCCTGTGCACGTGCCCTCAATACGCGGCTGAAAGGAAGACACGCAGTTAAGTGCGTAATAGATCGTCCGGACTGTATTCTTTTCATAGCAAAATCTTTTGAGTGCTTAGGACCATTTATAGACCACGTCCAACGGGGTTTGAAAGGCCTACTAATGTTTCTAAGGGAGACAGGTTTAAATGCTCGTCTTCAGTGCATGTACTACGGTATAAGAACTCATGCGTGCCCTGTCCCCGTGATGGACTGTGTGTGCACTGGCTCGTTGTACTATAATACCAAAGTAGCCAATCATCTTTCCTTCCTTTTTTTCTCCCTTTTCCGTTTACATCCGTGAGTAGTAGTAGGATAAAAACCCGCTTTCCAGGCCAACCTTTCCTAGTTTGTCGTTATTAAAAATCTTCAATCTCCCACCGGTATTTTCGTTGAAGGTCACATTCGCGCAAGCCTCAAGAAAGCGGGGCCGCTTGGGCACTCACCCCGGCCAGAGTGCAGGCGAGGTATGCGAACCCGATGACCACGGCGTCCGAGCCGGCACTCAGGTGGCTACGGTGAGGGTCCCTGGTGGCGAACACTGTAGAGGACAGCAGGAAGCTGAGCACGAATTCGACGCCGAACGCCTGCCAGGCGCCTAAAGCCTCGTGGGGCCGGTTGCTGCCCAGAGAGCTCTGGTGGCCTGGCACCGACACGCTGGAACAAAAAAGACACGCGAGGAAGAGTTAATTCATGAGCATGTTGGTCTTTTACACGTGTACAGCACCACTGGAGCAGTGTTGCTGCTGTGGAAGAAAATAGCCTGCAATAGCTGATGTGAACCAACAATGAGGTAACATTTACCGTCACCTAGCCAACAATAAGCCACATAGAAACACAATAACTTGGCCAAAATATGTCATTAGCCCATGCGAGTAAAAATTCAAGCAAGCACGAACTTGGGCAGTGCTTGAACCAAACGAGCAGGTACGATAGCGTGCAGGTAATATTTGAGTAAATATCATAAGCTAACACATCGACAACCCCCGTTTACAGTAAAGAGGTATTAGAGGTAGTATGCTGTCGGAACCCGGGGTTTGACAGGATCCCACTCGCTGCTATCTGTCATTGAAGTGTTGGGACTTTGCCGTTACCGGCACCGGGGCCTCGGGAAGAAGACGCCGACCATGAAGAGACTGATGAGGAAAGCTGTACAGAGGTTCATTTTACTTTATTTACAAGCGGGCATTTGTCACCACAAGACGAACATCTATAGACAAACATGTCCTACATCGTGACGATCTCGTCGAAGGTTCCCTCTCGAGCCCACTGCGGCTGGTTATCAAGAATCATTTTCCCCTCATCCTACTTCACTGTACAACCACCAGACACACATCACTGACATTTTCCACGGTGCCACCCACACCCGCCCAGGTCAACGTCTTTGACCAGGACGTGGCCGCCACACTCCCCTTCCGGTGCCAAGATCTCTCTTCCTTGGGGCGAGAGTGCCGCTGGGTGCTGGGTTCCACGTTCGTACTATACCATCGCACTACCGGGAGGAATAGGCACTGCGCCGTGCTCTCGACCGGGTTGCAGAAATTAGGTGCCTTTCTCCTCTTCTAACCACTACCACCACCGGGAGGAATAGGCACTGCGCCGTGCTCCCGACCGGGCTGCAGAAATTAGGTGCCTTTCTCCTCTTCTAACCACTACCACTATTACCGGGAGCATCAAAGGACCCCCGTTCCCCGCGCTCATTTTGCGGAGCTAATTGTCATCCATGCTGACGCCGCCACCTCTTCAAGGTGGCCGTCTCTACCGAAACCAATTCGGTCGTCTCGCTGTGCACTTTGCGGCGTCGCGACCACACGCGCCTCGATTCCCGGTTGGGAGGACAATACCCACATTTGGACGGCTGTCAGCAGGCCCGCATCTTTTCGGCTACTCGTTCGCAGAACCACGAGCAGCCCTTTCTACTTGGCTCAAGCGCCAGTCCTAACAATACACTCGCATGTGAAACCCTAAGAAATGGCGTTCCATTGCAAAATATCGCTTTTTTTTTCATGATGCGGCGTCATAGCACCGAACACAAGTGAGATACATTTGTAAGAAACAAAATCACGGTTTGGCTTATGTCTTAGCTACTCTAGTCACTATAGTTTCGATTTGTTGAAGTGGACCGCATGATGACAATGAATGCCCGCCTGACATGAACACTCACAAAGAGGGAGTACATGAATTGTCTTACACACGACCGTCGCAGGTTGTAATCATTCAGTCTTCGAAGGTATGATTATCAGGGCTCGCACATTCGTACCGAATATCTCCAACAGAACCAGTAGCACAGTATGTTGCCGGTGCAATATAGGGACACGTTTGTGCGCACGCGGGGCATGCTACATATTAAAAGGCTTTTGCTTCCTGTGTGCCTTCATCGATACTGTAAAACAGAGGGCAATGACAATATTTCTCCGGAGCAAGTTATACGTGACGCCTTTCTCGTGAGGCTATTTTCCCGAAGGCATTTCCGAGCGCATGCAGCTTGCATTGAGGAACCTATCTGCAACAACACTCCAATATAAAAACAAATAGGCATATTCCGAGCATCTTCTTGCAACGCAGCGTCAATCATCGCCTGCACGGCACACATTTCACGGCTCTGAAAGGTGCGAGCCAAAAGTAGCGAGTGCACAGTTTTTAGAAAGCCAGATGACTATTACTGTTGTGGAGGGCAGGCAATCAAAATACGACTTGTATAATGCAAGTTACGGTTTTTATTGATAGGCAAACTTCATTCTTATCTTTAGTATTTCTTACCGTTTGTGTGCCCTTAAAGCTCGTTAAGGGCAAAATATAGGGTTGGTTTGTTAACACCGGCCCTTGGCTGTTCATGAAACGCGTTACCAAGTGCATACTGGCGGAGTGTTATAAATAAGGGTGCTTACAATAGTTTGATTAGTACTGCTGCCAGCGCGCACGCACGCACACACACACACACACACACACACACACACACACACACACACACACACACACACACACAAAGCAGAGAAAATAACGCGTGTAAACAAACCTCTGTAAAGGAAGAGGGCCTTTCCTGTCAGCGCTTTCTTTCAGAAGACTAATCGCAACAGTAAAAAAGAGCCTTCCAAAGCTGCGACAAAAGCCGTAGGTAACGGGGCCTTCGTGCTCGGGTCAGTATAGAGCACACACACACACGCACGCCACATAACACAGGCGCAACCTCTCGGGCCCACTTTGGTTCAAAGCTGCAGCTTTCAGCGGCGCGTCCCTTTTGTTGCGGGGCACGTTCGATTGCTTTCAGTGGGTCGACGATGGCTTCGTTTATCCTCGGGTGCGCCGATACGAAGACAACACACGCCGGACTCAGGACACAGAACGGGTCGCTAATGAACGCAGACGCGCGCTCGGACGCGCGTTCCTGCGAGTCCGGGGAAAGGTAACGGGAAAAGGCTGCGAAGGTCGCCATTAAGAGAGAGAGAGAGAGAGAGATTGAACAAGACACAAGAAGGAGAGAGAGTGATTTAAAAAGAAGTGAAGAGAGTGAATGAGTGAGGAGAAGAGAGAAAGAAGGACGACATTGAGGCGTAGAAAGGCTCTACCTCTGCAGCCCCAAAAGGGAGCCCGGTTGGTATATTTTCAGGGAAAGGTGGGGGGGGGGGGGGGGGGTCGCGGAGACCAAGAGAACACGGCTCCAGAGCACACAAAATGCGGGCGAGCTCACTCCATTACGCTGCGCATCGGAGTCGACACGAAAAGACTCCCGCCACTTGCGTAGGCTCACGCCCTTGCCGCCTAAACGCACAAACAAATGACGATGACACACGTGGTGTGGTTAACTGTACATGTATCAAGCGGTGGCGTTTGTTATATGAGGGCAAAATGGTCAGGTAGAAGCTAGCGTGGTTATTGTCGATTTTTATCCGAGAGAGTTGCTGGACATGCTCATTAAAGACGTCGTTGGTGTCACAAAATCATGCAGCCTGCATTAAGCCGACACTTACCTTCGGATAACAAGCACTAGCTGACATTAGCCATGATACGAACAACACTAGCTATGAGCAGCAATCATTTAGTCAGTCTTGGTCAAACTAACCGACCAACACAAGCCGTGATTGGGCCAATGATAATGTTAGCTAGTGTTTACGTGTCTAGTTAAGGTAGGTGAGAAACACACGTCATTTACCGTTGGGCGTTCACAAAATATCGGGAAGAGTACGCTAACATATGCTGTCTCTTATACATAATATGGTTAAGTCGCCACTGCTTCAAGCTAAGCAAAGGGTGATTAGACAAGTGCTCAGGAAATGCTGGAAGCGGAAATTCATCCACAATTAGCGAAAGCGCAATGAACACAGTGACGGAGAAAAGAGCAGGCACGACACATAGGGGGATTTCAATCTTGATTTGAAGTATTTTTTTTTCACATGAACCAACAGCCTAAAAACAATCACATGTGAGAGCGAGAGAGAAGTATTCAGCAGGGCAAAAAAAAAAAAAGCGTAGCAACGAAAGCACAATCAACAGTCATCTCAGATTATGATCACAGGCAGCGAGTGCTGCGAATAAACTTCGAACTGTTCGCAAGAAAAATGTGTGTATGCAATCGTGCTTTCTAGAGCAAACCAAGTTAAACATTTCTCGCAGCTATGCTTGCATTTGAGTTTGACGCTGAAATTATTCATTTAGGAAGCGGAAAGTCCCATACGTCGCGAAATGACAAAACACTTTTTTGTCCTTTCGAGAAAGCCAGAACTTTTATACATTTATTGATAACAGGTGTTTGGTTACCCAACTCACGTACCTATTTGTTTCATGCAGTTGTAAATCAATGAGGCGCGACACACAAAGGGCCACGTATTCAAACTTTCGTGTCTAGATTGCTTCTTGCGCTATGGCCAACCACATTCACACGGAGGAGGTCAACACTGGTGTATAAATGATGCACGGCCACAGTAAACTACAGCTGTGCAAATAGAGTTCACGCCTCCAACACACGATTCACCATCAACTTCTCGCAGTTTCGGCTGTTCTGACACGCCTATGGTCCAGTGGTTACGACGGTCTGCTTCTGATCCGCAAGTCGCGGGTTCGATTCCAGCCACCACGGTTGCATTTGGATGGAGGCGAAATGCTGAAGACGCGTGTATGGCGCGATGTAATTGCACGTTGAAGAGACCGAGGCGGTCGAAATTTCAAGAACCTTCCACTACGGCGCACCATGTCGTGCTTTTGTCAGGTATTATCCCCCCTCCCGTAATTGTATTACTAACGTGTTCTCTTCTGCGTGCTCCTATTAATTCTCTATGCCGGATCAAGACTGGAAACCAATGGCAACCTGGTTAACATCCCCGTCTTTCGTTTTATCCCCGTCTCCTCCACATGGTGTATTTTTGCGTGTCGACGTATAGTCTCGTAATTACGGGTTAGCGTTAACCCGGCTCCTTCTGCGCATCTGTGGTAGCAGGTGTACATGCTACACCGCTCGTACGCGTTCCCAGCGCGCTCATTTGCCAGCTCGGTTCCACACGTCTTTCTCTCTCTTTCACCGACAGCTGAAGCCAGCGACGACCCCTAGGGGTGTTAGTGGCGCTGAGCGCAGGCAAGCGGAGGTAGAAAAAAAAAAACTAAATGGCGGCATACAGTCACCTTCGTCGCGTAGCATGCATAATATACGAGCTGTGCACTCGTTG